AGGTCCACTACTTTTATCGGAACATACCCACTACATAGAGGTTGCATACACATAGGTCCATAAATACAACTATTTCAGCTAACACATCACTACTTGCCGATTTTAACTATTACAACAGCTTCACCATCCCAAAATTCATTTGTTCTGGGCAGTTCCTCACTTGGTGTCCCAGTTGGCCGCATCTAAAGCATGCACCAATTTTCACATAACATATTCCTGTATGACTTTTGTTACACGTTTCACACTTAGGAGCCACACATTTCTTCTTGAAGTGTCCGTTCTTTTTCTTCTTCCTCCCCTTATCCCTCATAGCAACTCCATTTCCATCCATCTCTTTACATTTTCCTTTGTGGTCGCGAACACTTCCTTCACCTCTTTCATCTTTATTACTAGGAATGTCCTGAGAGGCCATTTGACTAGATGAAGGTACTAACTCAAACTTACTTCGTACCTCTTCCAAAATCCCTTCGTATTTCTTTTTCAGCTCCATGTTCTTGTGCAATAGCTCATTTTTCTCTGAATACTCCTGTTTCCATCGCCCTTCCCAGTGCTCAGTTAATCTCTTTTGGAACTCTACTTCCTTTCGAAGAATCTCTATCTCCTTATACGTATCAACCAAATATGCCATCTTCCTGATTCGCTCGAACTCAAGTGATAGCCTGCCAGGCAAATTAGAGAATCAAGATAAGTAACCAAGTACACTCGGGACTTTAACCATATAACTGTTAAGTTCCCTCACTCCCAATCCAACCACGAAAAATTTAAACTTAGAAGCATACAGGTATTGAAGCCTCAAATTTTTCATACCTAATTCCAAATTCTCGATCTCAACATAATAGTAATCAAGTCAGGTCCATACTTTGATGTCAAGGGATAAATATCAAGAAAATATAGGCAAGGTTAGTTTATCGAGAGCCAAACTACGGTTATCGAATCTCACAAGGGGGTAGAAAATACCTCTATGGTTGTAGCTAGACTAACTCAAAGTCAAGTAATTACTTATCAAGCTCTCCGGTCATAGCAAAAGGGAACAGGTCTTAGGTGCGAATTCCCTTACAATCTAGCCACCATCTAAAAGCCCGAGCCAGACTAGTTCACGAGTAGTCCATGATAACAATTTCATATCAAACCCCCTATCGACCAGTCTAATTACTAGGTCAAATGTAGAATCTTCCGTGCCTCGGCTTTTGCCATCCAGACATACCTCAAATTCAATCAAGATACAGACCCTTGTATCGCGCTCTCCACTATTCGGTACTCAAGTACAAGAATCCACAATAAGATAATTCACAACTCGAGCCGGCCGGTCCCAAGAGCAAATCATCCATATTAGAGATTCCTACCTGACATATATCCATCTTCCTCAAGTTCCATGATAAAGATTTTTACACTTATAACATGCCCCGCTCATAAATTATGCTCAAAAGAGTCCTTAATCCCTTACACCTATTCACACAATTAGGACCATAACACCACTTGGCCCAAGCTCACTCCGCGCAGAGACCACGCGAAGTGGCTCTGATACCATCTGTGACAGTCCCACCTCCCCCTGGGCATACCCTAGGGTTTAGTGGACCGCCTGCCCAGCTCTCGCCAGGACTCACTGACTCGTATCACGTGCATACAACCGTCGACAATAAATAACTTCGCAATTCAATCTTATAATTTACATTGACGCACAATCAAGATACAAAACCTCAATATACCCAAACTACATCAAAGTGTATACAATCCAGGTACAAATCATCCTAATCAAGTGATAGCGCGAGTACAAGTCAAAAGTCAAAAACAACTAGGCTACGCTAGTCTTTACACATCTCACGCCTCACTCGTACCCCTGTAAGGAAAACAAATGGAGTGGAATGAGCTAAAAGTCTAGTGAGGTTCCAAATAGCAAATTGACCATTATTTATAAGTACAAGATTTTGATATAGCAAAGTAACGAGCATGAAGAGTCCATAAAAGTGAGCAATAACACGTCAAGTAGCAATCTCAAAATGAGCGAGTGTAAAAGTTTTTCAAAATAAACAATAATCCAATAAGCAATAATCATTCCAAAGCATAAGGATACGGATGGCTCTCAGGAGCCAACTTCCATTCATCATCAGGAGCTCGATCACGTAGTAGTTGACACTCCGTCAACTTTCAAGTAAAGAAACCAATCCAGTAGAGCACCACTTAACTACTCTCCGTCCACCATTCAAACCCCCTACTGGGCCCAAAATCCTCAAGAAACACGGGTGCTAATACTCGAGTATACCGATTAGTCGAGGAGATATCACTCCACTCGACAAAACAAGAGACCCAGGGTTTGTTACCCAATCGACCAAGCCCCTGCCGGCTCGACTCGAGTAACTTGTCGCAGGGTTTCTGGAATTCCAGGAAGTGCGCACAACATGAACAAGTATATCAATTCAATTTCAACAATAAACAAGTATATATCAAATAAGGGCAAGTGCGATAAAGTACACTCTTGCCCGATCAAGCCAATCATATATCATTTAATCATATTGATCAAGTATTGGAAACAAGTGTCCAGTTCAATCAGGTATTTGGAAGCACTCACCAAAATGAAGTGCCCCTAGTAATCACGTCTGGGTTATACTCCAGGTTCGGAGTCAAAATCTGCGATAAAACTTTGTTTCAGAACTTTAAAAATCAACTAAGGTTCGAAACGTAGACGTTTCGTTCAATAAGAATCAAGACATGGAAATTCACTTGGAGAATATTCGTGAAACACTCGCTCGCTTTTCAAACTATATTACTTTGTAACATTTATACTTGGAAATGCCATTTGAGTCGAAAGTACAAAGAAAACGTATTTTTAGTAGTCATAGTTGTATTTCTCAAGGGTACAAATTCGGCTAGATTCTAACGTATAACCCTCGATAACCAAAGTAGCAAAAGTCCTAGATAGTTCAAGTGATATTCACTTATCAACTATACCTAAGTCGCAAGGGTATTTCTCTAGTCCTCGAGCGTAAATTTGGGCAGCATGCCCTTTGTGTTTACCTAATTTTCCAGCCATTTTGGCTTCATTATTTTTATCATTCAAACCCATAGGTACACACACAACAATCTAACTTCAATAGCCATCCAATAGGCTCAAGAAAATATAAGGACAAAAATTCAAGTTAATTACAAGTGCGGAAATGAGCTGTAGTAAAAGATAGATTTGATAGGGTTTTGCGGAATGGACACATCCGAGGTTACGCTTAACGGATTGTGTGAAATTTATACCATTTCGAAGCTTAGATGAAGGCCTACAACTTTCATGAAGATCACTTGGTCAAATTTCCAGTGTAACCTAATCAAATTCCCAGTTCACAGAACCAGGTTCCAACTAATCAGCTAATTAACTGTACTACATTTAAATGGTCATATCTCAGGCTACCAAAGTCCGTTTAAGGCGTTCTTTGAGGCGTTTAAAAGCTAAGACAGAGTACTAAAACTTTCATATTTTGGAAAATGGGTAAATCAGCACATATCATAGTGAATAGACGCGGTCAACTAGATGAACTGTCTAAAACGGATCACTGGAAACATCCTAGGGCAGCGAGGGTATTTTGGTCTTTTCACAGGCTACGTTGCTCCGATTGAGTTGTAATTTTGTAGGAAACTATAAAATATTATTCTATACAACTTTCATGTTTTATGTCAAGCCTAATTCAGCTTCTAACACCACGAACTTGAACCGGCCAGAACAGGGTTATAATTTTCCAGAAATCTGGAATTTTGGGATTTCAATGGAAACTTTCTTCATTTCTTGCCTCAATCACTACCAAAGCCCCTTATATAATCTTAGATACAACATATATTGACCATACAGCAAGTATAGGCAGCAATCTTTCAAACCCCAACTCATATAACTAAAAAAAAACATACACTATCCACCCAAATCTTGATAATAGCTATCATCCACCACAAATTTAAGGTGCTAAGCCAAATTAAACAAGATCAAGAGTAAGAAATGGGGAAATCAGCATCATTACCTTGCTAAAGTGACTACCAAAAGCAACCCTAGCTCTTCCTTCCAAAATTTCACCAACACCTCACTAGCTAAACACTCAAGAATGGTTTTAATCGGTTTAGTTTTTTGTTTCCTCACTTGGATGATCCAATTTCAAGTTGGATTTGGGCAGCTCTCCCTTGGATTTTTTTCTCTCTCTCTCTCGGCCAAGGTAGCAGAAAAATGAGAAAGAATGAGCTAATTTACAAGATAAGAAGGCAAGAAAATTAAGTTTAGTCAAAGCCACAAATTGCCAACACTTGGCACTACCAAAACCATCCAAATTTTCTCTTTCTTTTCCTTGCATTTTGGGCCACAATTTTCGGTCAAAGCCAGCTGGAAATAAGAGGATATTTGGCTCAAGTATTAATGAGCTTATATGGTAAGAAAGTGGTGATCAAGTGGTGTGTTCAATCGGTAGTGCACGGTACACGTCGGTTCGCACCGTTTTTCCTTAAATCACACGTACTAGGGTTTTTACTTCCTATTCACTAACTTTATATCATTGCTTCTAATCACATATTATTTCTCACCTAAAAGTCACTCTTAAGCACCAAATTTGATCCTCGCTCCGTACCGGATAATTACACTACGGATACACGTGAAAACCCTAACTTGCTCCAACTTGAAAACGAAAAGTGAAAACCCTTACTTTCATGTTCATTTGCACTTATTGTGGAATGATTGGGTAGTAGGGCTATTATAAAATAATAATTTCCAAATAAAAAGGGAATTTTTAAGAAAAATATAAAGAATTTCACGGGTCCTCACACGAAACCAATAGCGCCTCATCTTCATCGGCAAGCAGCTGGAGGACGGCCGTACCCTAGCCGACTACAACAGCCGAAAGGAGCCAGAAGGAGTCCACCATCCACTTCTTTCTCCACCTCCGTGGTGACGCAACACCAAGCCCAAGAAAAAGAAGGCAAGTTTATCAGAAGGCTGGCGGTGATTGAGGGAACTCTGGACTAATTGTGCATTCAACGCTGAAGGGATCGATGTGCTCTCCACCAACTCTCAGGTAGGTCCTCTTATGTCTCTCCTTGTTTCCCTAATTTTTTCCTCAATTAATTTGCCCTAAATTTTTCCCCAAATTTTTGGCAAAATTTTTACGGTGCCTATAGTTTGAGTTGTGGACTCCTTCTAGTAGAACTGTTTGATCTATAGTTGCAATTGCTTAAGTTATTTTTGTACAACATGGGATGTAGACTTGATCACCCAATTCCATATGTGAGTCATGGTGACAAAATTCAATGGGTTTATGTGCGGGTGCGGTTTTGGCTTGGGACTAGGTGGGGCAAAAGTTGATGCCTAATTGGATGGTGGTGAAGGGAGTGGAAGAGAGCAAGGAGGTGATTATGGTACGATGTTGCTATGAGTGGCTGCTGGTGAGAGAAATAGTGGGTTAAATGGTGCTGGGTGGAGTGGGAATTGGGGAGTGATTAGTTGATTATCTATGTGGCTGAGCAAAGAGGTAGCACATTAAAGTTTAATCTTCAAATTTCCAGAAAGCTTCAAACTTTGCTTGAACTAAGCTAAACTAGAACCACCATTAAAGTACCTACAGAAACGATTCTTGAAAGGGTTCTTCGAAATTATTTGGATTTTTATCAAAAATCAAGCAATAGCTACAGGCTCGTTGTTAATGAGCTTTATTAATTAGTATAGTGCTAATAATAATATTTATATACATGCTATACATGCTGTTACAATTATCCAATGAAATGACAGAAAAGATTTGAAAGGTAGGAGTGTGATTGGATGAATTGTGTGGTCTGTTTGAAGCTTTGGTCTTTTCTGGTAGACCAAATATATAGGTTGAAGATATCTATAATTATAGCCTAATATACATAGGAAAAGAAATACAAATACATAGGCTGACGATATCTATAATTATTTTCCTAAGTAGCATGCTGGTCAATTTGATATTGTGATTGTTTTCATGGTCAATCTAATTATTCTACACAATTGTAAGGTGGCCATGCATGCTATATGATAACATCATGATTTCTCCTTAAAGTTTTAGTAATTGTTTTTCTTTTTTGACTTCTAGTTTATCTCATGATTAACTAATCATACAAGTAACTTGAAACCTATTATAACTTAGAAAGCATCATTCTAAGTTATGAATATGGAATTCATTCCAGTATGCTACTTCCAACATTGAATTGTACTCATATTCTTTTCATATATTGTTGATTTGGCGTGCTACTTATATGCATATAATTATATAAATCAATATAGTGTGGATTAGTTTCAGGTAGATCACAAAAATTACTTTATTTCTCTTAGATTTGATTGATTTCTTATTTTTTGTAGCAATTGAAGTTGTTGACATAGGCTTAGGGTCTTCCTCGGATATTCTCATTGAGTTGCATTTTTCACTTTGAGGTACTTTACAGGCACTCTCCCTCAGTCCTTTTTCTTTTGTTTAGTAATCATGAGTACACTTTACTAGAATTTTTGCTTTGCGAATGACCTACAAAAATGTACTGCTGTTCACCAGTACTAATGTTTATTTAAATTATAAGCATTGAGTTGTCATCTGATGATAACGCTGATTTAATAGTACATCATGTTCATATTTGTTTTACTTTTAGCACATGCACCTGATTGTGATCAATTTGAATGATAAAATTTGTGTTTCATTACTTTGGAGTTTCTTTGTTGCTGTTTGCGATGATTAGTTTCCCCAATTTAGTTATTGTGCCTTCATTAAAATAATCTTGGATGCATATATCTTTATGTTAGGATACAAGACAGAGAAAACATGGCTAGGAGTTGGATGATTAAAAACTACCTAGATCCCAAATATTTAGATGGAGTTGGATGTCAATTAAAACTTTTTACTGCCTCATTAATCTAAGGCTGTTTATGCCAATAAGTGATTCATTGAAAAGGAAGGATAAAAAAATCATGAAAATTTTCCTTATGAAACTAAGGTGGCTATTTAATTTTGTTGTTTGTTTTGATTTATTTGAGTATCAATTTACAAGAACGAATAGGTAGTCTTTGTGTATCCCTTTCTTTATAGATGAATCCAATAAAGACTATTTGTATTCGTCTTGTGCTTTTAATTTCATTCTCAGCTGTGAAATTAGTCATGTACTGTTAGATTATAACAGATTTGTCCCTAGTCAGTCAGATTGAGATACGAATGCCACTTTGGTTAGTAGCATCCCTAGAGATTCTGTTGTGAATAAGATTCTGCAGCATGATTCTAATGCGATACTTGCCAAGTTTGCTACCTTGCTGTCATAAACATGTAAAATTGCCAGATAATCAGGAAACATGCTAATTCGGTTGCTTTAGATTAGGGGATTTGTCTGGTTCTAATGACTTTATTAGCCTATTGTAATCTCTCAGGTTTCTAGAATACCTGAGAAAATGAGCGAGTGTGGACTTTAATTGTATCAAAAAGTTTGCTATCCAACATCACTATTATTCCCTTTTTTTGGTGGTGTGAAAGACTTGGCATTATCATTGTTAATTATCACTTTTAAGTTTCATTTCCTTATGATATTCTAGGAAGAGTTGTCTTATGTGTTTTTTTGTAATGTTAAATGACGTATTGAGACTGATAGAATAGAGCATTTCCTTAAAGATGCAACGGAATGATCTTTTGACCAGGATTTTTGTAAGAAGCTGGCATGGCTTTTCAAGCAAGCTAGGAACTTTTTGTGCCTTTTAATTGTTGGAGAAGATCAATTTGATGAATTTCTTATTGGATGATTACTCCTTCCTTTGACATGCTAAAATTGCTACCATTCTAAAGGTCATGCTAGAAAACCTGTTGTAAAGTGGATTGAGGTACTCTTGCTCTGCCTTCTTTCTAGACAGGCTAGTGGTCAAGTTGATCATTTTTTACGTGAATATTAACAATACTTATGTTACTGGATGCATATTTAGGTCCATAATTATAGAAAAGGCAGTAAAATTACCTCTATGAAGATGGTTCAGCTGATGCAACAAGAAAATTAACCCCAAACCATTTTTCCAAAAGCTGGCTTTTTTATCAAGACGAGTTAGAATTCCCAGATGCCAAAAGGTGCTTCTTATCAATATGCTTTTGCTTTTGTGTGGAAATATAGACAACCAGTATTTGTGCATGCATCAACCCCAAACCATTTTTCCAAAGATTTTAAGCACGATTTTATGGTTAATATGTTTATTTCACATGCAAGTGCTTTCCTACTAGCATAGTCTCTCAAAAAGTCACCTTTAGATCTGGTTGGCATGATAAGAGGACAAATTTCTTGGCTACAAGTTGATGAACTAAAATTTTTTTGTCTTGTAAGATGCAACTTTTACAAGTTGTTATATTTAATTAACTCATAGATTTTAACAATGTAAAACATATAATAAATAAATTCTAACAAATGTGAGATAGCTTTAAAGCTGATAACTTGTGTTCCACTCCTTTGTTCCAAATGGATGTCCTAGCTAGAGTCGGCTCTACTTTAAAATGAACTTAGATAACAATAATGTTTGAAACTTAAATAAGAAGTGGGAAACACATGGATTGCATTATGAATTGAATTTAATAAATGGAGAAGGTTGGGTAACAAGTAGTCAATGGTAAAATTGAGAAAATCGTTACCACTCTTTTTCTTATTGCATGGCATTAAATGCAAAGTTAGACATCAATTTATCGTGAGCAGGGAGTAAGTTGGGATCTTAGTAGATCCACAGAATCTTTATATTGTATAAGATCAAGTTTCCTAAACCTTCACAAGTCCAGCTGGGTACCCTTTCCTTGACTAACTTTTATGTATAGAACTCAGGTATGTAGAAATTTATCAGGAATAGAGGTGTTTGAGGACACTTTCTGATTTGATTGTATTTATTGATTGTCTTGTTTGTAAAGTCCTAGGAAGGCCTTGTTCCTTCAACAGCATGTTTTCTCTATCCTGTCATGAAAAGTATGTACAGCCATTTGCTAGCTATGATTTCTTGCATATCTCTGCTTGTAGTTGGTTTTCTATTACTGTTTTGAGTGTGTGTAAAATGATATCCGATAATTTACTATTCGAGTTAGAGATAATATTCAGTCAAAAAATTCTTTGTTAGCTTTTGGCTCCATGACTTTGTTAGGAAGACATGTTAAGCCACTCCGTGAAAAGCTAGTAATATTTTTGTTTGGCCTTGAGTAGTTTGTTAAAAAGGTATTGACCTCACTAATACTTAACTAGCTAACTTCTAAGCTAATTTGGGATATTGTCCTTGTTATGTTATTTTCTGCCTTATTTGTTCTTGTCTTGACTAAGATTCTAATCGTGATTGAGTTTTGTTGTAGGTAAATATAAGATAGTTTATTTTTTTGCTCAAGCTACTTGTTACCTACTAATTATTATACTACTTTATGCAGACTTGTATTGCTTGTTCAAACTCTTTTGGCCTCTAATCCACAGCTACTAATTGATTGAAGAACAATGAAGACAAAGTTGTGTTTTGCTCTTGAAGTGTTTCGGCAGTAGCTGCTAGCTAAGTTTAGGACTTAGATTTATTTTTGTAAAGCTGTAGCAGGATGTTGAACTTAAGTATGATATTTTGGCATTTCGAATGTAATGGATGTCTTCTGTTTTTAATTAGCAGGCTTTGTTGTTATTTTTCTCAATTCGTAAATTGAATTGTTGGATTGATTAATTCCAGTATAATTTTCTTTATCAAACTACACGGTTACAGTATATTGTCACTAATTAGACTTCTCCACTGACAATGAAATGTTGTCACTAATTAGTATCTCTAAACTTAAAGCCTACAGTGATGACAAAAAGTTGTCAATATCACGTCTATTTTAGTGACAAGCGTGAACCAAAGTTGTTAGTAATTAGTCAATACAAGCAACAATCATCAAGAAGTTTCAGTGACAATGTTATGGGCCATCACTGACAAGATATAAAGTCATCACTATATTTGTACTTTTTATTGACGAAGTGAGTTGTCAGTAAAGAATGCTATTTACTGACGACATATTAAGTTGTCAGTAAAGAATGCTATTTACTGACGACATATAAAGTTGTCACTGTACATCTTTACCGACGGGCATTCACTGACGACTCTGTGGCGACTTAAATGTTGTCAGTAATTGTCATCAGTGACGACTTTTACTTTTTTTGTGACAAGAGCTGGTTGTCATTGATGACCTTTTTTCTTGTAGTGAACCCAAACCTGCCGAGATTCCAAATCCATCACAATAAAATGGTCAGTGGGATACAACCCAAACCTGCCAAGGTTCCAAATCCAACACGATAAAACGGTCAACAGGATACAACCCAAGCCTGCCGAGATTCCAAATCCAACACGATAAAACGGTCAGTGGAATACAACCCAAGCCTGCCGAGATTCTAAATCCAACATACTTACTAAATTTGGGTGTTTTAAAACCCAAAGGCCATTGCATGTTTGGGAAAAAACACAACTCATCGTAATCCAAGCCTCCAAACTTGCTCAATATTTGGCTTTTCTCATGAATTTCTCAAATTTATCCAATCTTTTCAATAGATTTTTGTCCATTGGGGTGGAAGATTCACCCGTTTTCACCTTCCCTTGCATAGCAGCATCAAACATGAATGGCTCAGTGGTGGTGTGACGAGGTACTTGAGAGTTTGGGTAATTCTGAGGTACTTGAATGCTGGTCGGGTTGACTTGGATGTTATGGGAGTAAGTGTATGGAAAACTGGAAGCGAGGTAGATGATAGTCTCTTTGGGTATGTTTGCAAAGAACGGTGCAGAGGTAACTTGGGTATGAGACAGAGGAGGTGGTTGGTGTTCTATTTCAGGTTGGCTAATAGGCATGGGATCATGTTGGATACCGCCACTGTTAACAATCAATTGGTCAATTATGCGCCTTTGGGTTGTTATTTCTTCACTCATTTCATTGAATTTGTTTAAAATCTCGCTCAGTTAAACTCCCAAATTTGTAGTGTTTGCTGGAGGTGCCGTTATAGATTTATCGGATGATTCAGGATGTATATTCATATTTACACTATTTCTCAAAGTTTGGCTACGTGATCATGTAATGACAGGGCTTCTTCGTGTAGCTATATTTATAATTACCTGAAAATTTAGGAAAAACCCTATTTAGATTCCCCTCTTGATTAACTATTGACAAAAGGAAAAAGGAAAAAGAAACGATTTATTAAAAATTAAAGTAATTCGGATGCATGTCCTATTGGGGGAGCCCTTTTTGTGAGTAGGCCTAAAATGAGAATGCAATCCTCTAGGGTAGGCACTATATAATACCTGATGAATCCGATCAACTTATTGATATTCAAGTGAAAAGCAATTTGAAAAAATTTTGGCCAATTGGAGTGAGAAAAGACACTTGTCCTAACAAAATGAGGATAAAGTCCGAATGAATTGATTGATTCGATTAACACATAAAGTGATGTGTGAAAGAGCCTACTCTTGAAAGAATTGCTGTGCCTCGACTAGTTTATTCAGTTATCCTTGGATCGAAACCCTAAAAGAGAATAAATAGGTCAAATGGATCGGATGAAATTGATGATTTATTCAAAAATTGATCGGATCGCATTAAAAATGGGTAAATAGATTGAATGAAATTGATGATTTATTCAAAATTGACCAGATCGCCCTAACAATAGGTAAACTAGTCAAATGAATTGAATGAAATTGATAATTTATTCAAAATTGAATGGATCACCCTAAAATTAGTCAAATGAATTGAATGAAATCAATTAATCGAATAGACCGAATGAAGTGATGATTTAATTCAAAAATTGACTAAATTATCCTAAAAATAAATTGATCAAATAGATTGTATAGAGCAGATGGTTTATCCAAAAAAAATCGACTCAATCATCCTAGATGCCAATAAACTCATAAAAATGGGATGGATGGAATTGATGGTTTATTTGAAAATTGTCTAGATTGCCCTAAAAATGAATGAATGGATTGAGTTAATGATTTATTCAAAAAATGACTAAATTATTCTAAAAGTGAATGAATTGATCAAATAGATGAAATGAATGAATTGACAAAATGGATTGATGAATAAATTGGTCAAATGGATTGGATTAAATTGTCCTAAAAAATTAATAATCGGTTCAAATGGATTGAATGGAATTGATGGTTTATTCAAAAATTGATTGAATTGTCTATCCCTTGGTAAAAATTCATTGCGATGCATTAGTCTATGAGTCTTCTAAAATCAAGATTTGGCCTTAATATATTTACCATCTCAACAATGAGTGATTATTTGAGAATTTCTTCAACTTAATGTCCTTTACGCAAGGGATTTTTATCAATTCTGATAAAATGGATAAAAGATGATTGTTAGATGCTCATAAAAGTTGCTTTATTATCATGGAAAGATCGGATCCTACCTTACCTTGTGGACTACCCCTTTGGATGGTACAAGAAATATAGACGTGCAACTCTCATTGGATTACATATCCGAGACATAAGATGATTTATTCCTAACGTGGGATTCCCTATGCGGCATTCCCTCCAAAGGTTATGCATGATGCCAATTTATCAAAGCAATTAAATATGCAACTTTAAAATGAAAAACATGACTTAAGGGACCCTTTGTATGCCAGGGTGGGCCTAAAATGATGTGCACTTATTAACTTACAAATGTAATACATCGAAATTAAAACGTGCAATAACCTATCTAAAAGAGTATCATGCCAGACCTCTTATTTTCTAGTGTTTGTGAATGCAAAAGATGAGAAAACAAGGAAATGTTAGTTCAACACATAACACATAACATGTCAAGAAATTAGATGATACAGAAGGCAAAAAGAAAGAGAAGTAAGAAAAGAGGGGTGGAATCCCTCCCTTCATGCCTAGTGTTCCTAATTAGGGTAAGGTCAACTCTATCCTAGGCGATCTCTAATATGAATGCATGAAGTTGGGCTCACTAATACATCTAGACTCGATAAAGCTTCGTGCCCCCAAACCTTTAGACCAAAGGCGAAGGGTCATCAATCCCAAGGCCTAAGAGTCAGTGGTTCGAGTGATCCCTCGTACATTGCTACGCGCACGTCGTGCCACGGCCACATGTCCAAGGGGATCAATTTTAATCCTAAATAGGGAAGAGTGGTATGACAACCACTAAAACTAAAAAAGAAATGAAGGGTATAAAGTAAAACGTATGCACGTATGAAGTGTTTCATTTTGATGGAGGGATTAAATACCATTAAATGCGGGTGAAGGTTCTATGGTGACTAACCCCCCCTCCCCAAGATGCAAGCGCGATACACAAATACAAATAAATGAAAGTAAACCAACAAACGATCGCATACGCGGATATTGAGACGATTGCGTGTGTGAAAATGTAAAAAATCCTAAAAAGTGGAAAAAGGAAAACGAAAAAAAAAGAAAAAGAAGAATGCAACCTAAAGCCTCCAAATGTGATATATAAGAAGATTAGAATAAGAAAAGAATTGACTAAATCAAGTACTCGGACTCTCTAAAGTCCCCAGTGGAGTCGCCAAGCTGTCGCGCCCCATTTTTAAAAGAAAAAATAACGTGTTTTAAAAAAATGAATTTTGATTAATTTTTTATTTGAAAAAATGAGTTTTTGATTTAGAGAATAAAAAAAATGATGGGCCTAAATGGGACTTAAAATTGCGACGATTTTGATCTAAAATAATAGTTTAAAAAGGGTTTTAATAAAAAATAGGAGTCGCCGCCGAGTTAAGGTGTACCAAGTCACCTAAAATGAATTTTAAAAAAAAAGTTGAGAACACCCTTTTTAAACAACTCCAAGTCTTCGAAAATCAGAGAAAAAGGATCGGAAGGCAAGGATAAAATCCAAGGCACCTTTTTAATCTAGCCAAGGTTAGTTGCTTGATTTAGTCAAAAATTTTCTTAATTTAGTCTAAAAATTTATCACATTTGGATGTCACTATATGGATGCAAAACCTAAACCTAGGAGGATATCGGGGGTCGAAATATCTCTTCAAAGCTTAATTGGGACAAATCACATTAATTGTGATGCCCAAGAAAGTGACACTTTGAAGTGGTCATGAATATGCAAAAATATGAGACTCGAAGGAAAGAAAAGAAAATAATAATTATACAAAAAATATATATGACCTAAAGGAATGCATCATAACGGGTGCGGGAGGCTAAAATTCATGACTTTTAATTTTCCCTTTACAGAGGGAATACGAGCGTGCTAAGGCTAGAAAAATCATACTCGTCCATATCCCATATTTAAGGGGTAATTTCCCTAATATAATCAAGCAAAATGTACTAACCTAGTTCTAATTCTTAAATGGAATGCAAGTCTAATGTCATGTTTTCACGCATAGGGGTAAGGGATATACATATAGGGGAAATATGGGATAAGCGATATACATATAAAGGAAATTCATGCAAAATGATAAAAAAACCCCTAAAAAGTAGAAAATATGCATGAAAATGTAGTGATTGTCACAAAAACATGATCTAGCGCATGGATAGTCCTTAAGGGTCTAGCGTTGGACTAGCCCATGTCTATAAGTTCTCACTGGCATTGGACTAGTGAGAAATCAGAAAAAAGGGCCACAACTAGCGTTGGACTAGTATGGCGACGTCATGCACT